ATGAGTAACAATACCTTTCTAAGTTCTCATCCCACAGTAAAACATTACCATATGCATGTTTAAATGCATAGATTTATTGATTATGGAATTTATTGATTATTATAGGATGCAATAAAGTATGTTTTGTGACTGTCATCAGTGTTTTGCAAAACAACCATTACGCCTTTAAATTTTTTATTAATAACATCATCAATACAAAAACATCTGATTTTGATTAATTGATTAGAGATAGTGACTGCATTTTCTGGTATACCTCATGAAACTGATTAACAAATGATCAAATACAGTAGAAGATTTCTTCTTTCTTATTTTTTAATGAAGTGCTTTATTATACGTCTTTCTTTTCACCACTGAAAATAAAATGACATACCATGTTTGTAAAATATTAATAGAAATATCTATTCTATCTTGACAATTTATTTATATAATTGTTGTTGTTGTTATTGTTATGGCTACAATTTTCATAGCACTACAAAGTACTTTGTACCACAGATTGTGAGTTAGTTAATTCATTCATACTGAGCACAATTCAAATTCTGGAAATTATTGGTGAGCTTGTCTTAGCACTGCAGGCCCTGCATTGCGTGAGGACAGCGTGGACATTCCCAGCATTCCTCTGGTGTGACGTCCTGTCTAGAACCATTTATCATTTGTCAAGCCAGTCAATAAGAGCCCACGCAGCTTTGGTGGCGCTCAGCTACTGTAGTAGCACAGCTCCTCATGGGGGATCCTGGTCACAGGAGCTCAACCTGTTCTCTAAGGAAATTATTTTAATGGTTAATCCACTTGCATTGGCTCCCATTTTAATCTTTTTGTAAGTGCGTAAAACCATGAGAGAAAAATGACAACATATTGCAAGCCTCTAAACAGTGTGCAAATACACAAAATATTTTAGCCTCAGGAGTGTAATCACCAGCCCTTCTGATGAAGTTCTCCAGATATACTGTATCTAAATACTTACTAACACCTCTTTAAAAGCTTCATGTCTAAATTGTAATTGAGATGCTGGATTGTTGGTGAAATGAAGAAAACTGTGTATATGCAGAAATGTAAGATAAAATGTTGCCAATGGAGTGTGAAATTATCATATGCATTATTATACGAAGGTAATTATGTTTGAAATATTAATGCATATCAGATGCAGATGTTGCTGCTCTTTTTTAAAATTGAAAAGCCATCACATGTCTTTGTGTTATCCGAATAGCCTCTTGTGCAAATACACAGTTGCATCTTTGCTAGGTTATTAAAATAGGATGCTTAACTCGTTTATTTATTCATTTATGCAGAGCAACAACAGATAGAATTTTATACTGAAAAATGAGTGATAGAGGCACTGGCTAGAGTGGTACAGCCAAGGAAGACTCCTGCAAAGCTCCCATTATATTTCTACTGGCAATCCTCATCTCCTACTGTTCAGCTCAGCACCTCCCTGAGGGAAGCATTCTGAAAGTAACATATACTGTATGCAATATACACATTCAGTAAATACATGTACAGTATACAGCCTATATATATTACATATTTATAAATGCCATACCTCTCTTGCTTCTTAGTAGAAATCCATGTATTTTTTTTCCTTCACGGGAGCAAAAATGTTAGTTTTTAAAATCATTGTTAATGTCTATGAGACTTGCAATTTTGCAAAATTGATATTACAAGCATTTTGAGCCAGTATCATCAAGTAGACCCCTCTAACTACTGTATAGATTTTTTGTTTACATAAGTGAGCCAATTTTTCTAAACCTTTTGTGATTAGTGCAAAAAGTAGAAGCTTTATTAGGACATTTAAATGCATTATCTTATTCTGAAGGGCGTGATAGCCCCGAGTAGTTATTACTGCATAGGCAGGGCAATGATGCTTTCCAAGGTGACTTGCCCAAGTCTCCTGAAAAAAAGTGCTTAATGTATAATAACTTATTAATATTGATGTTATTAAAATTGATTGCTGCACGTGTCATGCAAACATTTAGTAAGGAGTGCAATTTTGCATCTAAATAAGAGATCAATGAGAGCAGGTTATGGCTGTGCATGCACTGTTAGCCAGTTTGTTAACTCTATTTAACTTCATTAAAGTAAAATAATAATCAGAAAAAATTATAAATAAAGTACAGTCGCAGGGTGTCTTACCTCGCTACCAAAGGTTTTATTCATGCTTTTAATGACAACTGATTCAAGTTGCTGTGTGATTTAAAATATACATAAAAGAAATTTGTTTTTAAATGCAGATTCATAGTCTAGTAGAGTCTTGCTGAATGGATTAAAAAACTGTTTAAAGTATACAAAGCTGACTTACATTGTGTAACAGAATAAGCAGAATCTTTATTGCTTAATTTATTTATATCATACAGAGCTTGTGAGCTCTGAGCTATGAAAATGTCCTCATTTACATTATAATGATACCCAGGAACGTAGCGGTTGGAGTGAGGACCTGAATCAGTGTGTGAGAGGCAAAGGATCATGTATGCACGAAAGTAGAGAGTGAAGTAGGAGAAAAACACACACAGGGTTTTCAAGCCTCTTGAGATGTTGTACCAAAAGAGGAAGAACAGAGATGTGAGTAAAACAGCCCTGCTAGGACAAAGCAGAGACAGAAAAGGCAGGAATCTGTAAGAGGTAATAGCAGGAGGATGCTGACCTCTCAGGCACGTTACCTGAAATGATGCCATCCACCATTGTGAAAAGCAGGACCCTTTCAAGAAGAACTCTGTTGAAGAGATTATTTCTCAAGTGTGGACAGTTTGAGTATTGGAAATGTATTTACAGTTGATTCACTGACCATGGACAGTTTTGGAAATTGTGGAAAAAAAGACTTTGCAGATTAGACGGTCATGGTATGAGGTGATTGGTTGTCTGTCAACCTAGGACAGAAGGGTATGGCAAGTGGGATTCTGTTCTGGGTGAGACCGGAGTCTCTCCTAGAGTTGAAGGTCCAAGGGCTGTTTTTGGCTCAGAAGGGGGCTTTGCCAATGGTGTGTGGAGTGTGCATCTATCCCCTCTCAATGAAAAAGATTTTACTTCATTTGGAAAATGATGTTTTAACTATGTTTTTATTTGACAGAATTTAAAATAATGTGTTATTACTGCATGTCTAGTGAAGACTGGGAAACTGAGAACGGATGGAAGGAGCTGCAATGGAGATAACTGTGTGAATCGGTGGCTTTGTAATAGAGTATGTGGACACTGTGTGGTAATTAATGAAATAACTACAGTATATCTATGAAAGTTTTTGAATTTGAGAGAGGATGGAAGCTGGTGAAGTGAAATTGCTGTAGGTGATTGCTTGAGAATATAGAGAAACCAACACAGACACAGACATCAATGTATTCATGGATGTATTCATCCTCCTATTAATAATAACTCCACTGACCTGGTGGTAGAAAACTTTGTTGAAGAAAAATGCACTCATTGTGAGAACATATTTGGTTACCCTGGCATATACAGTACTGTATATACTTCTCAGACTATTTTTTATTTGTTACTCAACATAGAATATTACTTCAGGTGGGTAGCTGCGTCAGCATGCGTAGGCTGCAAAGGAAAAAGTAATAGGTTTATTCCATGCTGAAAAAAAGAAGAAAGAGAACACAACGTTTCGGCAGTGGAGCCTTCTTCAGGTGTGAGAGAGACAGGGCAGTAGGCAAAGGTAAAGTAGCGGGAGAACAAAGGTTGGGAGGGAGGAGGAGTGAGAGGCGGGAGCAGGGGACAGAAAGAGAGGCCAATCAAGAGGTGTGAAGTCAGAATGGGTGCAGAGAGGTGTGAAATGAAACTTCCAATGAATGGAGAAAATTTAAAAGAACAGTAATCTGTCGTTAAGGGAAGGGAGAATGTGTGATCCTAGTCCTAGCTGCAGAATAATTTTAGTTTCGGTGGTCTTTCTGATGTATGAGTTCGGAAAACCGTCTTTGAGAACACAGACGGAGAGATTAGTGTGGTCGTGGCCGTCAGAGGTGAAATGAGAAACAATGGGCTTGGAGAGATCTTTAATCTTCACAGCCCTGACGTGTTCTCTGAAGCGGTCTCCAAGTCTCCTTCCTGTTTCTCCAATGTAGATGGCTGGGCATTTACTGCAAGAGATACAGTAAATAAGGTTGCTGGAGGTACAAGATGCTGTCTGGGTGATCCGGAATTGTCCTGAAGGGCCTTGAATGAGTGTGGTGGTGGCTGTGTACAGCACTTGCAGGTGATACAGCGAGCATTAGAATATTACTGATTATGAACTTGCCAGTTCCTTTGAAGGACTTCTTTACGGTAAAAATATAAATCACCTTTAGGTTTGCATTGCATATTAGTTGTATTGGGATATAAAATTGATTATCTAATTCTTAGACAATGAAATAAACAGCTTTATGCGGTGGGCTGTCCGTCTTGTAATTGAAAATCATTCGGGCTCCTTAAACTGATGTGTGTGCACAGCTCCATGTGAAATTGACTCATGCTGAAAGCAACAGGGAAAAAAAACAACTAGAAATTAAAAGAATTTCCGGATCAGAAAATGTACCATTTTGCATGACAAAAAACTACATAACCACTGTACTTAGGTAACAGTTATTTTTTGTTAGTGTAAGGGAATAGGCCTCAGCAGAGCAGATACTATATCTGGTCCTTAAAGGACCAACTAGGACCTTATGTGTGACTTATGTTGGAAATAAATGGTAACAACTGTGGGAATTTTACAGGTTGTTGCTTATTTTTTTGTTTCTGAACATGTTCTAATTCTAATAACATTGTTTCTTTTTTTTGCAAATGATATACAGTATATATATAGCCATTTACTGTATATGTACAGTAGATGGGCATTTTTCTGAAGCAATATGAATTAAGTTCTTCACTCCACAGTACTGCAGCAGCCCTTCATCCAGCATGTTAAACCCACAACCTTCCAGTTAGTTCTAACCATAACTCTACACTACTACCTTAATAAATAATTTTGCATATGAAGTATAAGGGTGCTTACTACTTGCCTTGATCTTTTGGAATAAAAGCAATTTTAATTTTTTCAGAACTCTTACCAAATTGCCATCGACTGCGATGCCAACATGGATGTGTAATGACGAGGAATGGGACTTTTTGCTACTGTGGAGATGGGTTTGAGGTCGGAGAAGATGGACGGAGCTGCACAGGTAGGCAGAAGTTTACCAAAAACCAAAAATGAATGGTGACCTTCTTAATTTTGCCCTACTTTTTTAACAAATCACCTTCAATTGTGGTCAATTTTAAGCAAATCAAGTCCTAATTGTAATAAGCCAGAAGCATGAAAATTTATACCCATTTATACACATCCATTGTAAAACAATTTTGACCACTGCAGACAAATGTCACACACTACCATGAAGAGAATAAATCATCCTTTCGTTGCCCATTTAACCTCAGAGATGTCACTTGTCACTTCAAGACATTTTGTCATGTCATGTCATTTACCAAACCTGCTTTATACCACATGGTGTTGCGGGATGCCGGAGCTTACCCAGCAAGCAATGAGTGCAAGGCAGAGTACACATTAGACAGGACGCCAGTCCATCGCAGGGCAAGTGCAAGCCCATCATGCATGGGGACAATTTGGAGGCCACAGTAAAGGCTGAGGGGAGAAATTTAAAAAATATTGCTTCTCTGTATTTGTTGGAAACATTAAAGATTATTGTTTTTTAATGCCTACAAGTTGCTATTCAGAGGAAAATATGTTTTACATCTTATGTATTTTATGTATTTTACATGTTTTTATGCACTTAAGAAACTTGATTGGTTCTAAGTTGTTTGTCCTTCATTCATAGATTATGATGAATGCACTGTGTATGGGATCTGCAGCCAAACCTGTACAAACAGCTATGGGTCCTATGAATGCAGCTGTACAGATGGCTATCTCTTGCAGCTGGACAGAAAGTCATGCAAAGCTAAAATCGGTAAGATGTTAAATATATTTCTAGCTCATTAACATTCTGTAAGCCAAAAAAAACAAAGACCCTTTATTTCAAGATATTTTGGACAAGTGTCCTTTAGCTGTTTAGAAAGAAATGTAATCTTTTTTCAATTGATTATTTTGTACATTGCAGTTTGGCCCATGCTAAATATACAGTTTTATGTTGAAGTCTCACAGCATTGTTGCAGTTATATTTCATATTATATAGATTGTGTTTGACTTTCACTTAAAGTAAAAATGTTATAAACACACAATGAAAGAGCAGGGTGACAGAGCTCTAGTTAAAGCACCTGACTTTTTGTGCTGTACACTCCTGCAACCTTCTTCAGATTGCTTTTTTAGTGAATGTACAGCAACTCACAATGTCACTGCTAAGTCAAGCTTTGCTGTGATGAAAATGTTTTATTTTTTTCTTGCGCAATTAAGATTGTGTATATTGGTTTTGTACAGTATATCTTTAGAAAATCTTGTACTGTATTTAATGCATTTTAAAAGTTAAGATTTTATTGTGGCTGGCACGATGGCAGAGCCTTGATTCCAGTGACATGGTGCAGGCCAGGGCTGACGTCTGCAGGGCGTTTGCATGTTCTAGTTTCCTCCCATCTCCTAAAGGCATGCCGGGTTAATTGGAGTCTCTGAATTCTCCCTGTGTGCTTGTGCATGTGCACCCTGTGGTTGGAGTCACCTTGCACTCCTGCTCTACTGAAATTGGCTTTGGGTTGCTGAAAATTATACTGGGGGTAAACTATAAATATAAATGGATAGACACAATAGCTGAAGTTAATAAACTGAGGTCTCCCCAAAAAAATCTGTGTTCAGATAAGGTGGAAATGTTAGATAAGCACAGCACGCAGTTCTGAATTATTAAAACATATAGTGTACAGTACAGTATGTGTTTCTGTTTATTGCGCTCCATTTCTGACACTATTTGTTGAAACTAATTGCGATTAATAACCCTTATGCAGATTCTTAGTACAACAGTTCAAAACTGTCCTGCATAGTATGACTAAACAAAAAATTGCTGAGCAAAAATAATAAGACACAGTATTCAGGTTCAAATTGAAATAATAAATAACATGGATTAAAACTTTTATTTTCATTTTATTTGATTTTCTTTTGTTACTTTTAGTTTAATTCCATAACTGAAATGCTTTATCTTTTGAAATTATTTTATTTGGCTTTTTAAAGTAAATTTTGGGCCTTTATGGACCTTGATGACAATAACAGGATAAACTTTACACGTGTGACTTCAGAACTTTACTCTGTGTAAACAAAATTGTAAGTACACATTTGAGGTTCAGGAAGTACGTAGATAACTTTTCCAATGCCTTTTAATATTCAATGGGATTTTTATTGGGAATCCAGAAATGGATAAATGCTGAGAGGCATGTGCAAGCAAATGTAGCGGTGTATTACGAAAGGGTCAGCCCCCCTTGTGAGGTGAGGTGAGTGCACTTCTCCGTTTTGTATGTCCTTATTGCATCGCCGCTTTTTGCTTCCTACAGGTAGGGGTCACAGTGCCTCTTCCTCTCAGCCAAAACTCCCTGTCTTCTGTAAAGCACTCCAACAGATTCCAGAGTGCTTCAATGGGATGTGTAAAGAACTCTAGGTGTCAATACGGATGGAGTTACCATGAAATAGGAAGGCAGTATGCCAGCCGTCCCCAGTGTGCTCTCCATGCTGTCATCCGCCTGGCAGGGAGGATGAGTGGATAGAGACCCCTCTGCTGGTGAAAGGCAGTGGCTCACCAAAACTATGCAATAGGAAGAGACACAGTATATCTTTTAAGTAAAATACAGGCAGCATTGCGGATTCCTCCACAGTGTCTTTTAGCTGAGTTTCAGGTTGGCAGCCTTTTTAATTACTGCAAAGTGCCACAAAAATAATATACATCATCACAAAACTACCTCAAAGCAATTGAGGTCTTACAGATCAAAATGAGGTTAGGATTCAGTGTGGAGCTACTGTAAGAGTTAAGTTCAAGGATGGAGCTATTGATTTTGTTATGGTTTTTAGCATGAGTGAGTGTAAAGGTCAGTGCTGCGTTATTTATTTGTCTTATTGAAATTGTAATTGTATCACATATTAATACTGAAAAAATCCATAATAAGGTTAAGATATTGCCAGTTTAAGCATAGATGAATTCCTTTTTAAATTGTTTACTGCACTGTGTTTTTGCTATTATAATACCTAATTTGTCATTTCAGAAAAATGTTAATTTTAGTTATTCTTCAACACCCATTCTTAGTTCTCACTGTGCTATATCTGTCTGGGCTGCAGTTTAACTTAAGTCTACAAGTTGCCCCACATTTTAAAGGGGCAATGTATTCTGGGGAGCCTTCTCATTAGTCACAGCTTAGCTGTGGAGCAGCGAAGTTCCACACAGGTAGTCTGAGATTGCCCAAAGCGTATTAGACCTCACTTGAGTGCAGCATCCTTAGAGCTTTTAATCAATGTGACTGGTTTTCTTCCAGGAATTAAGTTGAACATCATTACCCATAAACTTAAATGAACCCCACATTCCCCTACATTAATATTCATTTAGCAACAGTGATTGCAATACCTTGATAATTATGGGACTTTCATTAGTCATGGGAATTCATGCATGTAAATTTCAGCATATGTGCGCTATATAAAGGAGCCAGACTGAGATACTGTATGTTGAGCGACATATTAAATTATATTTTTATAGTTAAAGTAACATCTGTTCTACACCATAGTATTTCATTATTTCAGGTTTTTGTTACAGTATCATTTTCTCAAAAGCCTCTTTAACGTTTATTAAAGGTATTCAGTGTGTTTCTAATTGCATTTTGCTTTTCAGCATACAGTACAATTTAAAAAAGGTTGAAATTGCATAGAAAAGCTTTTAAAAGCAAGTAGCAAGAATGGTATTCAGCATTAAAGTTTAAAAAATAGTTCTTACATTCACAAAAATAAATGTGACAAAAGTGTAGGTGTGTACATCAGTAAATAAGGTAAATCAGTCACATATTCAGATGCTGTCAGAGGGAGGAAGGCAATCTGCTCTGACTGATAATGTGGCAGGTAAACACAGTGGATCCATGCTCTACCACTGCTGGAGGAGGCCGGTGTTGTTTGTGGGGATACTGACATGGGCTCTGTCTCTATCTCAGTGTGGGATCACAGGGAAGTGTGTGAGGAATTTTCAAAGGAGATGTTTCCGTGAATGATAGTCACTCTAAGTTATCTTTACAATACTGTGAGAGAGGGAAACTACCTGCTTAGATGAATGGATGTCGGGAGATAACTTAAAAAGGTTGTGAAAGGGACATGAAGATTTATTACAGGAATTACGAAAACTGCTTGTGAGCTAAAGTTTCTATAAGAAGAGAGATTAATCATATCTTGCCCAAATGAACAGTGTATCTGAAATATCATATGGTCAATTAAGTGCCAAAGGTGGACAGTGATAATCTTATGACATTCATTAAATCACCTACAGGCTGCCCGAAAAGTAATGGGTTTCTCAATGTACTTTGCTCATACCATACTGCTCTTATTATGTGAATCTTCATATCTTCATCTCTCCTCCTTTTCATTTTTTATGTACACAAGCCAGTGAACGCCAATGCAAAACTACGTGAAATTCATTTAAAGCTGAGAGCAGAAGGGCATGTTCTTACACAGAAGGTTATTGGAGTCTGGATATTACTTATAAGTACATATTTACAGTATGTATTTATGAGACCTTATTTTATCATACTAAAACTCTTTTGTTTTTTCTCCTTCCATTCCAGAACCCAATGACAGACCTCCTGTGCTCTTAATTGCTAATTCAGAAAATATTGCCATAGCATCACTTACTGGAAACACTGTGCCAGACTTAAGACCTGTTATCACCAATGGAACTGTAACACTGGACTTCAGTTACAGCAAGGAATCAATTTGCTGGGTTACAACTCCAGAATATAACAGTCAGTTGAGATGTGCCAAGATGACAAAGTTGAAAGGTATCTCAGAAGAACAAGGAATAAGAATGGGACAAAACCTACAAAGTAAGTAGTAACAATGTGTCAATACATCATGGGCTGTATTTTCTTTACAAGATACCATCAGGTTTCTGAGTAATTCTCTATTATAAAATCTAGTTTTCTGAGAAGGAAATATAGCACAGAATTGCTTTAGGGTGCTTATTTTTAATTTGGTCCTGCAATTATACAAAACAACTTACATGTGTGCCCATTTATACTGGATTTTACTAGAGCGATCTGGGTGAAGCACTTTGCTCAAGGGTAGCACAGCAGTACCCATGGTTTGAACCCATGATCTTTCAGATCTTTCAAAGTCAGGAGCCCTCACAGCTGCCCTACTTTCATGGATAAGTACAGCATAGAATAGAAATCTGTGGAATGATTTATCATTGATAATGTTTCTTTATGGAAAGGGTAGGTTTGAATTTGTTCCAAGAAAATTTATGATGATATACAGTATGTGTGTAAGTTTCATTGATATTTTAAGCTTTGCTGGAGTTCAGAAGTATTGATTGAGTTATGTTTCAGCACATTGCTGATTATAGTTTAATTCATCAGCTGCCAATTTAGCATGCACACTAGATATGACTGCTCTGTATGCTACATCGAATCTAATCTTTCAGATCAAATCATAATTCTGAGGTGAATTTTGCATTAAACCTTGTAGCAATTCTTTTAGTTATACTTTAGTTCTACAGTACCAGTACTATGGTTGAGAGAGTCTAAGATTGCCCCAGGCAATTTCTGATTTCATTGGAATTTAGGATCCTCGCACCTGAAGACTTTTAGGCTTTTTACATGTTTGTTTTGCTGCTTGTGGTAAGTGAATCACCATTTCCCACCCCCAAATAGATGTTAAGCAATTAGTTCATTTACTGTTCAAATCATCAGACATACAAATATAAGAAAGGTTAGAAATGAGAGGTGGCTGTTCTTTCCATGTAGCCCATTTGGTTTAAATATTCTTTGCGGGAATGATCACAATCACAGCGTGATATATTGTTTTTGTAAGTAATTTACAAGAGGCAAGTCCCTGGTATTTAAAATTTTTAAAACTTAAAGTATACCATACAGTATATGTGGAGATATTATTCTGTATATATGAAATAAATGTTAATAAGGAGGCCTCATCTAAAATAATTTAACTGTAAAAATTCAGCTCATGATCTATTTTAAGAATGTGTTCAGAATAAGTTTATCTTTAATCAGAGATTCCAAGCTCAGTAGGGATTGCTGGATGTTACTGACAGTTCTTTCTCAGTAATGAGCCCCTGCTGAATGTAAAGCACTTTTGAGTCCCAATCTGCATTGTGATCTGTAGTAGTTCTACAGCAAATGTGTAAGGATTTTTTAAATTATGTGGTTCATAAATAAAGGGCTATTTGTACCTCCTCATTTTCAGCTTTATTGACAAATCATTTTGTTTTACATATTTTTTTAAAAGTTAGAATGAATTCAAACTCACAATATAATTGTAGTTTAGCAAACAATAGTTTAAAAAAGGAATCAGTGCATAGCATTGTTTCAAACAAACTGCACACATTTACATACTTCTGAAACAAAGAGTAACAGGGTTCAGGCTCATTAGTGTGGGTCATTATTTATTAGTGACACGTCTGATTTCCCTTAATGGACTGCTTCCTTTCTTCATCAATATTTACACACTTTTCATGGCACAGCGGCAGTCCAGCATATTTTACATTTTCTGTTTTGTAATGACAAGTAGGCAATATACTGTAGGTGTGGTTATTTATTACCTATCATCACAACGATTTAATATAATAATCCACCTTTCCCAATAGAAATGTCACCAAACATTGCAATATATGTCTGTATGCTGAATTCATTCATAATTGAATGTGTTCCTCATAAATATAAGGGGATAATCTTCAATTATGAGTTATAGATATAGTAATGATCAATTATTTTTGTTCTGAAGCAAATACATTTCAACAAGTGTCTGAAAAAACTTGTATGTTAGTATGGGTTTTTAATAGGTTTCCACTGTGTAGAGAGAAATATTGTACATTACATTGTTGATTGTAGCTTACAGAACAATGTAAAAAAGATTCATGCAATTCACATGAGGCAAGCAGAAGAATGGTCCCAAAAGGTTTTTAATGGTTGTGTTAAAAGTGTGCAATGCACATTTAGAATATTGTGCACAAATGTTGGCACAATGTTACAAAACAATACTGCTGAAAAGTGACCAGGTACATTTGCGGGGTACAGAGACACTGTAACAGTCTAAATGAACAGAATGTTTTAATCTCTTCTTAGATTAAAGATCAGCCCAGTAAACATCCTCAGATCAATTATCTACTAGCAGCCAACTGGGCTAGTTGGGCTGAATGGCCTCCTCTTGTCTGCCACCTTTCTTGTGGTCTTCTGCTTGGTGGTCGAGCTGAAGATTTCATCTGATTCAGACCGGCATTTTGGTGTCTAAGTTCCTAATGACAGTGAGAAAGAAAGGACTGAGATGCATTTTTTTTAATTTTAGTTTATTAGTTCAATGAACCTTTTGCAAAAAGTTTTAAAGCCCTATTTCACAGCTACCGTATTGTGAAAAGGTTACCTCATTATTTCGATTAGCAGGTCTTGATTCATACTGTATAATATGCTTATATTGTGTTATTATGACTAATCAGGCTTTAAAAGTAAATGCACCTCTATCTTCTGATCTGCCAATGCATGCATGTTAATTGCAATAATAGTTCTGTTATCATTTAGGCACTATGCCAGTACTATGCAGAGAAGCCAACACTAATAGAGGGTTACTAGATCAAAATTAAACCATGTGGGAGGCTTCGATGCATCCAGAATTTTTTTTCATTTAGCTAGAGAAACCAAATTGCTGAGAGATGGAAGGGAACATAATGTAAAAACATGCATTGTTTTAAGGGTGTTGTGGAAGATGAGTTTACTTCTAAGATTAACCATTGAACATCATGCCCTGGCATTTTAGAGGCTATAACAAACTATGATATGCAGAGATATCTGGCACTTTGTTATCAACCTTTTTCATTCTACTTGCAATACATTTGTCACACTTTTTATTGTTTAATAGATGAAGTGTTCATTGATTTTTAAATATCATTTCCACACAAGTTCTGCTTTAGGCCTTTTGGCACCATCCCATGTGAACCAGATCAGATGAGAGAAACAAGCCTTTCACCATCAGGATATGAAAAGAGTCATCACTTAGACCTACCTCTAGTGTTTCCTCCTTTTTATAAGGAATTTATTTTATTGTTGCTTTTTTTCATAACAGCTGACTTTTGCACCCATTTATGAAGTTGGATATTGTACTAAAACAATTCAGGTAGTTCCTTGTTCAAGGGTACCACAGCAGTTACCCCCAGACCTGGACCTTAGCCATTGCTCCACACACTATAATAAATAGTAATCCTTTTATCAAAAATGTAGAGCTCTTAAAATGACTTTGTGATCCAAGCTTTAAAGGTGAAAAGCAGGTCAGAATCTTTAGAATATTTAGAAATAACAAAAACACAGAACTGATTGTAAAATCCCAGAATATCAATGCAAAGTTAAAAGATGATGAGCTTCATTTAATGCTTCATAGACTTAATATAAATCCCCTTCACTAATGAACATGCTCTCCAATGTGACTGGCATAAATTAGTATAACAAAATTGCAAGCAGATGTTTTTTTTCTTTAATGAAACTGAGATTCAAATAAACCTACAGTAAGTGAGCATCCCTAGAATTGTATTTATTTCTTCTAATCTGCCTGTGACTGAAAGTAAGCCATCTTTCTCTGTCCACAATCCAAACTTGCAGTTGGAGAGGTTTGACTATGAAACTGAGCAGTGTCTCTTGAGGGTCCTGGAACCTCACTTCTTTTTCATCTCTGCTAGTCGCAGGTGGAGACAACACATTAGAGAGCAAAATAAGGCTGACTGCAGCGTGTGGAGATTAATGAGCTTGAGATGAAAAGTCCTGCTGGACCCTGAGTAGATGAATCAGTATGGAACAATAACAGAGCTATCTGCTGCATCGCTCTTCTTTCAGCTCTTTCACTTTGAAAGCTCCAAGTTCATAACGGCCCTACTGCTAAAACTAATTTCTGCTTACATTTGGATATTAAAAATGGATGATTGCTAGACCTTGAAGTTAATATACTGTAATATGTATAGATAAAAAGGGGGTGTTCCATTGACAGTTATTATGTGAAGTAAAACATTGCAATAAATCCAGTTTTAAGTTTGTCTTAGATTTAATTGAATAAGGATTCTTTTATTTTCATCGTAATGAAGCTTCAAGGTGTACGTTGATAGAATTACGTTCTAGCCAGTAATTGTGAGTGAAAAACTGTGCTGATGCTTTCCTGTTACATGCATCAAGATAATGTTTTACTCTGAAGCACCCCATTCCAAAAAATGAAGTGACACCATTAGAAGCTGCAACCCTTAATTGTTTCTAATTGCTCCTATTCTGGCAAGTGTTTATCAAGCAGTTCGGAGAGTGTAATCAGCTGCCCCACTAGAACCTAGAACACCTGACTAGTGCTCTGAATTTGATTTAAACAAGTGTGCTGAACTCCAGTTTTATCAGATTCATTGTGTTTTATATGCTCAGTTTTATTCCCAAGCCCCTCTGATGAACATTTACCATGGTGAACTACAGTACTTGTGACTTTACGTGCATGCCTTCACTGGGAAATGGGAATGGAATGACAATCCACAATAAGGTTTCTGAATAATTGTCACTATTGTACACAATTGCTGATGTTGGATATAGTTCAAGATGAGATGTCCATAGGATTCAATATTTCATCTATCTATATACAGTATCTATATAGACAGCAGCCTTTTTTTCAGGGAATTCTTTTGGTTTTGATCACAGTTTGAATCTCCTTTTGGATGTCTAGTCAGGAGTTTATGTTTCAATTTTTTTAGATTGCACTTAGTTATATAATCTTGTTTTGGAAGCTGGAGAAAAAAAAGTTTTTATTTCTAAACATGTATTAAAGCTTATTTATTTCATTCAAACCCATATTTCTTAAGGAAAGTTAACTTTGATTAAGCTGGGCCAAATAAAAATGGCAAAGAAACAAGACTAGTTATGTTACCTTGATTCAGTCAGTAAACATAAACATCTTCTGTCCTCCATAACCCACAATATTTTTTAACCTCTCTGGAGCCACTGAAGGGGTATTTCCTTACACCAGGTGACACTCTAATTTGGATTCCACCAGCTGTAGTGTGCTCCTGTTAGTGATCTGGACTTGGCCTCCCATTTCTTCATACATATTAGTCACCCTGCTACATTTATGTTCCTATACATAAATAATGTACTGTATATATGTACACAGTATGAACCGTACACTGCCTGCCAACAGTACTGTATCCACTCTGTATTGAATTACAGATGATGTATATACATTTTTCTGAAGTAAATATTTGAATATACAGATTTTACTGGCATTTAACTTCTCTCACCTATATTTGTTTCTGTTTGAGCATTAAAATTTTGATTATATATATATTCACAGGAGGTGCATTTGCAATATGTTAGATACCAAAATGTGTATACATCCTTTGCAATTCATATTGAAGATTTTGCGGACAGTGGAAAAAAATAACAGTCATAAACATAGGTCATAGACAGTGCCACTGTAAAAATGTCTAAGGTGGACAGATGCCATGGGCTTCCTCTGAGACCCTTTAAAATAATATTCCATGTGGCAACACAAAAGAGACCAACTTTCTCAAAGAATTCCGCCTTTTAATTTGCCATTTGGCTGTGCTAGTGTACATATGGCTGGTAGTTGTATGACCAAAAATTTCAGAAACTAGGATAGTACGGCCACATTTTCTAAATTTGGTCTGTTTTTCTAAGCCTTATATGGGAATATGTCAGGCCATTTGTAGTAAGGATCTCTGGTACTGTAAATACTCAATAGACTAAGAGGTACTGTATACTGTATGTCCTGCAGATTATAGAAGACAGAATAGATCCTAGGATCTCTGCTTATCTCCAGGGATGATCGTGAGGAAAGCCAAGATCCAATAGAAATAAAAAGCATATAATCTAAAGTCATATTTACTGTACCTAGAAAGAGTGTTTATCTCCAGGCACTTATATTTAACTTTCTAACTGAATGATCCCATGAATAAACAATGAAGGCTAATACCTTTCTGAGTTTTGAAATGTTAATTTTAACCTTTTTTGGCAGTGGGACTTGATATTTCCAATATCAGTATTGTGTTTTAGTCTTCTCAAAATTAAACAGACAGGTGTTTTTTTTTAGATATAGAAAAGTGAGATCAAATGCACATGAATTCCATTATACAAAAGCGCAGATGGGGCGCAGACTGATCAACATCAAATGCTGTGGATATTTTATGAGGGATACAGATACTCAGTGCAACAATGACATACTTTTAAAAGAATAATATTAAAACATACATTTGGACTTGTCTGACCTCAACATATGTCCTTTTTCATTCAGTCAGCCACAGCAGATTCAAAAAGAGTAGATTAAGGCTCCTGGTATGTGCCCTAATTTTGAAGTTCACTGAACTAGTGTCGGTATGTTAAAATATAGCACAACATTTTTGACATGACATTGTTTATTGTTTGCAAATATAACCTCTTTTATCCTTTGATGGAAGGAAATACTTTTTAAATAATTCTTCACAACACAGGATAATGTACCTTTGAGCATTTAAGCCAAACTTTTTTTTTGGTCTTACTTTAGTGTGTGTACAGTAGGCACGTCTCAAATCTCTCACTATATCTGATAGATTGGAAGGCCTTGAAGTAAAGATTCGGTGTAAGAAAATTAATCTGTGGTGTCCTTCAGAAATGTGTATTGGTATTTGGAGAGATGTCACTGTCAGTAAAAAGACCCTGTGAAGGGCTAAAAGGGAAGTAGCAAAGTCCAAAAACAATAGGCAAAACATCCAAATCCAATAAACGAGCAACCAGTCCAAAAACTGGAGGGGGCAGTAAAATGAGGAAAACACACCCAAAGACGTAAGGCGAGAGCGAGAAAGCAGGAAACAGGCTAAGGTCAGTAATAATCCAAACAAAGAAAGGCGTTGGAGAAGTACGCCCACTATGGGAACTCAGGGAGACTAACCACAATAGTGAGCGAGGAACAGGGGGAAGAGGGGAACTAAAATAGTGAAGGCGGCGAAAAGTGACAGGCTAATCACTGACGGCGTGAGCAGTTGTGGAAGCGGGTGTGTGTGGATATGTGCGAATGAATGGAATGTGAGCCTTACAGTCACGCTCAGCAATGTGTTTCCGAACAGGCGCTGGGTTTCTGTAGTTGGAGAGTTCCCTCTTAGTTTCAGTGGAGATGAACAACTAAAGGAATAAAAACTATGACGTAAATAAGAACAGTTTTTGTGTTTGAATTTGATTAATTTATATGTTAAATCCCTACCCATGTTCAATCTGGAAGGATCTCATCAATAACCTCTAGGTCTGTGGCTCCCCTTGATGGTTTACTTCATAAGAGGGGGTTTGGGACAGTACGCTCATGAATGAGAAAACTGTTTCTACAGTATATACCAGTTTGCAATACGTCAAAACAGAAACAAAAACATCCCTGATTTGAATCCTTACCCTGGTTTTTGTGTAGTGGCTGAGGGAATTATTCTTAATTAAGGTATAAGTTGTTTATATTTTACACACTTGTATCTTGTAACTTTCCACTCCAATGGTTGTAAACATACAGTATGTAGTTCTGCTTTCATCTATATATGCTGAATTGTCAACGTACAGTACAGTAAGTTATGTTGCAAGGCATGACTGCCATATGTTCCTGGCAGAGTTACAAAAACAATGAGGAACTTGCTCGACTGCTCTTCACGTTCACAGCAAATGTCAAATCCCTTTTATGGACAGGTTTTACAGACTTTACTGTATAAAAAGACCACTCTTTGTAATACTTCTTTGAGTCTGGCCTACAAGAGCTAGGCTCCCATATGCATATGTAATAAAGAAGACTTATGCTACACGGACACCCGAATTGCTGTCATTTGTTTGACACAACATGGCATAGAGACATTGACTTAAATTCTGTTTACATTAGCTTTACTTGCACAGTGCAGTTCTCTAATGTGTTCAGCATTCTAATTAAAAAACTTTGATTCTACATTTAAGCCACAATGCATTATCAGAAGATCAAAGACAGGTGTTTTCTGCCATATTATGTTTGCCGAAGATCTTCATTTAGCCTCTTGTGCGGTAATGTACCCCAAACAATCTTCTTATGGATATATTTTTTAATTAAATTCATTAAAGTTTTAGACTACAATTATTTACTGTTGGCTACACACAAGGAAAAAGATGGTTGTTTCAACTGTTCAAGCAACTGCCATGCTGGCACTCTGAGCCAGAATTTGATATTTATGTTTTTTTGCCACCTGTTTAGGAAAGGGTTGACTGCTTCTTCTCTTTTTTTGATTTGTAGATGTGGAACAAATGGCCATAGATTGGCTAAGTGGTAATTTATACTTTGTGGATCGGATCAGTGATCGGATATTTGTATGCACTCAAAATGAAGACACTTGTGTCACTGTCGTTGACCTTGACCTTCATAACCCGAAAGGAATTGCTCTTGATCCACTCATGGGGTAAGTCAGCATGAACTGTTTCAAGGTCACCTTTATGTCATGTTGTATCTTATGTTTGTGCGATTCCATGTATCACCCTCAATACACTATACAATTTAAATGATGATGAGCACAGAGTTATTGTTCTGCTTTATAATGTTTCAGAATGCAAACGTTTAGGTGTGTTTCCATCTCATGGGCCTGCATGGTTTGCATCTTGTCCTTTAATAGATTTTAACCTTACTATAGATAACATTACTCTTCTTTGCATTTTGTGAAGACATCTCCTTATCTCAAAGCATGTTGTTGCAAGGGTAGAGTGAGGGCACAACGTATGCTGAAACACAATTTGAAAGTAAGGCATGTTCAAAGAAATGTCGTGTTGGGAAAGTTATTTTACAAATCATTAAGTCTTTCAAAACTGTAATTCAGAATGTGCATAGAGTGCATGAGTGAATTACAGTGCAAAACTTTAAAAAATGAGGAGTTTGGAATTATACTGTGGTAGCACCAAGAGCTGAGAATATGTAGATCATTAATTTGCAAGTGTCTGTATGTGAGATTTCCATCTTTACTGTATGTATATATTTATCATTAGATGAAGTTGAATACCACAAAGTAAATAAACCTCTATTAATACTCACAGTCCTGGCTTCAAAATGTATGTTTTTTTTCTTTCCATTTAATGTAAATGTGATTTTAAATAATTGTAATAACCCAAAGGGGATAATACAGTATTCTGAGTGAAGTAGTTCAAGTAGGTAGCTGCATCAGCATGCATGGGCTGCAAAAGAACAAGTGAAAGGTTTATTGCTGAAAAGAGAGGAAAGAAAACACAGCGTTTCAGCTGTGGAACCTTCTTCGGGTGTGATAATTCGGGTGTAATATTTAGACTGTTTCACTGTGTTTATAGAAGCTTATTCATACATGTGTGCGTACATTGCATATCGGAAGGGACGTGTTGATTGTTAATGAGCTGCAGGCTAATGAGTCTCTGAAAATATACTGTACCTGTGCACCACAGAAATGCCATCATTTGTGATTTTCAAATGCACCTCCATTCCAGTGCCGGGTTTCACAGTTATACAGTCTGTAATGATCATCCTGACACATTTCAGGCAGGCTGCAATTCTAGCTTTCAGAGTTGTTTCCACATTCATGGGCAAAGCAATCCAGTCCTTCCAGAAATAAGACAAATCTACCAATGCTGATGCTTAAAGAAAACAGCAAAATAAGCAAGGGGAAAAATACTTTGAAACAGAATGTGTGAAAGAGCAGCTATATAGTGTAGTGCAAAATATTAAATGTGGATGCTACAATTCAAGTATTTCCCATTACAAGAAGTACTACTGTTTGTCATTAGATACTACACTTTCAAGGAAACGTTTTTGAAGCTTAATTATTTTTTATTGTGCTACCTTAAAAGATAAGCTTCATATAAAAGAATAGAATGTTTTGACTTGGGCTTTCACCTTTAATGACTGATTGATGATTGGCTGATTGCCATTGCCATTTTAAATAATTGTAAAAACCCAAAGGGAATAATGCAGTATTTTGAGTGAAGTAGTTCAAGTAGGTAGCTGCATCAGCATGCATGGGCTGCAAAAGAACAAGTGAAAGGTTTATTGCTGAAAAGAGAGTAAAGAAAACACAGCGTTTCAGCTGTGGATCCTTCTTCGGGTGTGATAATTCGGATGTAATATTTAGACTGTTTCACTGTGTTTATAGTAGCTTATTCATACATGTGTACAATTCAAGTATTTCCCATTACAAGAATTACTACTGTGTGTCATTAAATACTACACTTTCAAGGAAACGTATTTGAAGCTTAATTATTTTTTACTGTGCTACCTGAAAAGATAAACTGCATTTAAAAGAATAGAATGTTTCGACTTGGGCTTTCACCTTTAATGACTGATTGATGATTGACTGATTGCCATTGCCTTCATTTGATCTCTCAATCAATACGGTAGGTGGTGAGAAGGCTATAGGGCCTCTGCCTATGGGAAGCTGCATTGCGTACATTAAAGTAAAATACATTAAAAATGGCAGTACCTTAAAATCATACAATTTAATTAAACTCATGTAAAATCAAACTTAAATGTACATGTCTATAACATAAGACAAAAATTATATTACAGTACAAGTGTTGCATTTCTCTTCCATTACTACAACTAAAATAATGTAGTACTGTACATTAGTATAATGAAGTATAATGTAGTGATCTTTTAATTATCAATAACTGCATGGGTTGCTTGTGGGAGTACTTTTTGAAAGGATTCTGCAAAGGAATTAATATATTTATTTGAATCTTTACTACACACAAACAAGCTAAAGAATGTCTGCCAATTGTATTCACCAAGGTCTCCACAGCTGTTTAATTAATTCTCAGATGTGCATCGAGGGCAAGAAGATATTCTGTACAAACATCTCTAGCGAACCAAAATAATAAGTTCAGCAGTGAATACTGCCCATTATATTTATGATAATACAAGAGGAATGCAGAAAGTGAAGTGTTCATGGGCTCAATAAAGATTTTAATGGGGTTGGTTTCAAAAGGGGCATGTTTCTTTTGGTGCCAAGAGCAGTGTTCATTTTTAGCTAGACAGCCTCTGTTATAATACTGTAAAAATGAATCCACTAGGAATAACAACACCCAAGAATAAAGTGCCCTGAAAGTATTGTTTTTGTGAAAATTTGGCTTAACCTGCTTGACTGAGGGCTGACCTCCTGGCCACAGGATGAGGGGGCCAGAACCCCCAAAAGAACCAAGAACCAAAAAGAACCAAGCGGGACCCCAAACCACCAACGCAGAAATAAGTGTTTAGCGATGTATGGCTTGAACTGTGGGGTGTTGCAGCAGTTGGATTGAAAGCTGGAGGAGTTTAAGGGTATCTGTATAAGTTTACTGTAAAGAGGCTTCCAATGACCTAGTGGAGTAGCTTAATAAGATAGGAATGTGTTGATGAGCTGCTGAGGAGGCAGCTTTAATTTGGAATGAATGGCCAGAATTGCTCAGCGCAATCCAGACATTACAAGAACTTCTTGTGGCTTATAGAGAAAAAACAGTTACTAGACAGTTTGAGACATTTCAGTAGCAAAGGAGGATCAGCAGGAGATGTGAGATGCAAACCTGAAGATGACGGAGTAGAGGTTAAGGGCTGAGTTAAACTTAAATTGGTCATACCCAGATCTACTTCAGATTTTTCACTTAAGTTATCTTAGAGGAGAGGTGGAAGTATTGGTAACCGTATGAACAGTATGAACTGAGGGTGAGTGGTGCTGCTCCAGATAGAACAGTATTTAAAGTCAGATGGAGGTAGTGATGTAAACGGTGATTCAGGGGAATGCAAGATCTGAATGAGGAAGGAGTGGATGGGGATCCAGGGCTAAGATCTTAAACTCTGGAAACGAGAAAGAGAAGTCGGCAATAGTATTGAATGGACCTGGGATGCGAGTTTCAATAATTAGAAATGATTCTAAAGTGAAAGACATTTAGATGGCTGAGGAATCGTGATAAGTTGAGAAGATCTTCCTTTGTTGATTATAACTGGCAACGTTATCTGAATGGATAACAACCCATTGTTTCCAGTTGTGCCCCCAAAAAGAAGCAATGGAAATTGGAAACTGTTCAAATAAATTGGAGGAATGGTTAGAAGGAGAGATGAAGATAAACAACAATGGCCTTCTATAACCATTGACTTTGACAATAGCCTGCCAGGCAAATGGAAGAGATGTAATGGAAGCGGAGATGCTGAAGCATGTAAATCTCTTGACGTGTGAACTTTTAGTATCACATGAAGAGAAGTGTAAGGAACTAACTGCTGGGTTTCTTATGGACTTTGAAATAGGACTGAATGCATTGTTGACCCCTCAATATGTCCATGTGGGCACTGTGGAGAAAAAAACCTCTGGTGGTTCCACCCTAATGGACGCCGTCCTCCCCCCCCGCTCTGGACAACTGGGCATTTTATTGAGCATGGGCTACGGCTCCAGACTCCAGCTGTTATGCTGTAACTGAGAAGACGCTGCACTGATCCAGAAGCAGCAATGGCCTGGAACTTACAGTACCTGTGCAGATATTAAGTGAAACCAAAGCGGATTTGTGGCTGAGAAGGTGGCATCAGAAGCAGCAGAGGACAAGAGCATTGAACCTGGGGCTGCAATGGAGGCCCTGAATAGAGACATGAACAAGACAGGGATATGGGATATAAGACAACTGCTGACTAAGCTGGAGGTGGGACACTGGACAGACCCAGTGGCCAAGGACACAGTGTCAATAGCTGCAGGGACAGAGAGTAAAGGAACCTGGGGCTGAATTGGATGCCTGGGAATGAAAGCAGAAGAGACAAAGGGCTGATTTAAAGAACATGGAGGAAAGAATGTAGCGTGGGGCTCGAGATTCAGAGGAGTGAGTTTAGACAGGATAATAAAGAGAACAAGAGGAAGCAGAATCCAGGAGAACAGATACTGTATAGACCAAGAAAGAATGCTGGAAGAAGAAACGAGCACAGGAAGAAGGCAGAAAGGATGGTTCTGGGGTTTGCAGTGACGGTGGCTCAGAGGCTCTTCTGTGTTGCTGTGGGCATCAGCATCAGCAGATGCGGTTGCATGCTGAATAGCCTCGGTTTGTTTCTAAACTTTGGGGAGGGTAAAAGCTTTCTTAGGTGAATTTCAATTAGACAGGTTTGTGAGAAGCTGGAAAAGTTGCACATTACTTTTCCTTCGTTCTTATTTTTTCTTTTCCCTGCTTGCTGTTCAAAGCATAGTCTACACATACAGTAGAAAATGTGAACACAACACAGACACAAGAATAATACAGGCGGCGAAAATGAAACAGTCTGACAAATGCAAGGAGAAGCTTTGGGAGCTCAGGTCTTTGCACTGGACTGGAGTGTAGCGCTGCTGGTGACATCAGGAGGTGTGGAGGTTTATTGAAAGCCCAGAGCTTGTTTATTGTATATCTTTGAAGCAAGAAGCAATTCTCCTAGATGTACATCATGAATAGAACTTTGTATTAG